AGCAGAACGACCACTCGACCCGTCACTATGAGGTGCACTGACCACCTTTTGGTTCCCTGGCCTGCAGGCTCCGATGGTGAACCGGGAAATGGGGTGCGTGGCAGTGGGGAACGGGACTGGTGAGTGGGTGGAGCAGCCGACCTCTTGGTCCCTCCTCCCAGCCCGCAGGCTCTGACAGCTGATGGCTAATGGGAACCTAGGTGGGTGGCGTCGAGATGGCCCTGATCACAGGCTAGGCCTCGGGACTGTACCCGGGCCTCTAGTAGAATCATTACAGCTCAGGTGCTATCTCTAGTTAATTTCCCCTTAGTATTATCAGTCAATACCTACCTTAAAAAAAAAGTTACCAGGCAGTCATTTCTCCATTGTTAATTAAACCCAGCCATATCTACCTCTCCCCTCCTACTCAGGAACTCCTAAGCTGTCTCTACTCTCTGCTCACCTAAGCCAAATCCTGGTCACCCTGGTTACACTGGGTCTTCCCTGCTACTGCTGGGTTCTAAGTCTCCTCTCTGCCCCCAGTCTCCTTCCCTTAATTTGTTTCTTCCACATGGCTGCCAGTGCATCTGGCAGTGTTATTCCTTTCAATAGATCCCCAAAGTACAGCCTCCTTAACTCGGTATCTGGTTTTCATAGAGGATGGTTATGTAACTGATGGAAAGGGGTCAACAGTCAAAGGAGTTGTAAAGTTTCTTTAATGACCAAAGATTCGGAGACTATTAGAGACCGGTGTTACTCCTTTCCGAAGCTTTCCTTATGGTGTTTACTCTGCCTAGAATGTCCACTTCATTTCCCAGTTTCACTTTCCTGAGTGTTAGCTCTAATTTGACCTCTATGTGTAGTTCAGATATGATTTTTTTCCCTAGAAGACCTCGCTGCTATCAATGTTGCGGTTCTTGGGTTCCCCGAGATGGAAATTGAGAGGAAACCCCAGAGGAATTCTGAACTGGCTCAGGGGCTGGCCCTGCTTGGCTGCTTACATAAGCTGGGGACATAAGCTTGCGCCGAAAGGTGGGCTTTTTTACAAAGGCAGGCTTGAAGAATTTCCCATTATGGATTCTGGTGACTTCCTTTTCCAGCTGCTTTGCTTAGTAACTATGTTGGCTCCTGGGCTATAGGGGCAAGCTGGCTAACGGCTCATTGTGCCACCCTAAGAAAGGTTGTTTAGTGGTCGCACCTTGGGGTTAGTAGTTTAAAAAGGCAGTTGAGAAGGGACATAAAATTAGTTACTTCTGTGCTTTTGAGTAGGAAGTGGAGGGGTTTGCAGTCAGCTAATTATTTTCCAGTCCTGTGGCCAAGTCCTTATGCTGTCTCACCACAACCCCCACCCGTTAGATGAGGTGGTTTTTCTGTGTTCCTATAGCTCTTTGCACATCTGTCATTAGTAGCCTGTGTGTTCTACAGAGCACTGTTCAAAAGGTATAGTGAAATAAGTCCATGTTAAACATATTAGAAAACCAAATCAAGCACTTTAGAATTTCTCAAAGCCTTTAATAGGCCTAAGTGCATTAGTATTCTCCAGGAGAAGGATCAGTTTTATATCGTGTGTGTGTGTGTGTGTGTGTGTGTGTGTGTGTGTGTGTGCGCGCGCGCGTGTGCGCGCGCGCGCGCGTAGGTGTGAGCGAGTGCCACTTTCTGTTGTTCCTGTGAGGATTTTAATTTCATGAATATATATAGTCTTTACTCAATTAACTGTTTCCTTGAATTTCTGTGTTTTGGCTTGCTGAGTTTGGAGCATGCCTAGCATGGTTTGGTTTTGTTCAAACCTTTCAGATGTGTTTGTTTCTGTATTTGGGGTTCCTTGTTGACTTGTTTGAGGATACTTAACTGTTTATCATAGCCTGCCTCTGGTGGTGAATGAAAAATGACTTGCCCCAATATGGGACAAGCCACCTCAGGCTCCTTCACTGTGCTATTCCGGGTGCTCTGTGCTGGCTGGCACAGTCCTGGGAAAAGGGTGCTCTAGCATGCAGTGCTGTTACAGGCCTCCCTTTCCATTGCCCTGAAAGCTGCTCCTGCTCTGCCCGCCACACTCCTGGTTTGCATTGGCCTGAGCTTGGAGGACCTTCAGACGGCTCACTTTGCATTGGTTTTGTTTTGGATTGTCATTAGTTCTGTATTTACTACTATCTTTTCCTTTCCTTTTTCCTTAACTCTAATCACATTTTTTTAATCTTGCAGGGATTCTTCCAAACTGCTTTTCTGCTTATGGCACTACTTGCCTTGTAGCAATGTTATAGATTTGCTTTTAAAGTCTGTTTTGATATTTCCTGGAGATTTAGATAAAAAGGGGAAGTTGTCTATTCTCCTGTAATCTTTATTTACATGTGAATCCTTCATTTATTCACCTATAAACAGTCCTTGAGTTACCCATGGGAAATGCATGGTATCAGTACCTTGAGCTCTTTAGTTACTTGACTATTTCTTCATGTCATATGTGTCCCTTCAGAGCCAACACCATACAATACTCATCTCTATTTGTATTTCCTTGCAAGATGCTGTAAAATGGTAGCTGTTTCAGTTGAACCAAGCTTTACCTATTAAATCCAAGTTTACAGAAAATAAAAGGAATCTTTTAACCATAATTAGTGCCTCTTGCATTTCAGGGTACATTTGTTTACAGTTTTAGGGACTATTAAAGAAATGAAGATTCCAGTTAGTCATACATTCTGACTAACAAAGTTATCTGTTGTTTCAGCTTTCTTTAGTCCCAGATTTAGAGCCACTGAGGTAAAACCATACTACTACACTTGTCTCAGAAAACCTAGAAAAGAAAATTATTAATGGGGCATCGTTTCAATTTTCTCTTGTGGTGTGATTACAGTATTGCTTTAAAATATTGTGTGTTTATTTACACCTGAAGTAGTACTGCCTGTCAGCATAAAGATGTGGTTGTAAGAATGTTTATCAGAACATGGTTCACAGTAGTAAAAATTGGAAACAACCTAAATATCTAAAAGTAGAGAATAGGTTAAACAATATGCTAGAATATTATGCTGTCATTAATTGTGGTGGCAGTGAATTGAACATTTCTAACTGAATACAATGCCTAAAAACAGTTAAAATTTTAATACTACAAATTTAGGCAGAGTCCAACTTAGATGCAAATTCTAAATGCTTATCTAATAATAGCTAATTTTTATGTATTATGTGGAGGGCTTTCCATGCATTATCTCAATCTAACAACTCTTTTAGGTAGATAGATGATTGTAATATTCCCATTTCCCATGTGAGAGATAACGTTTAGACAGGTTAAGTAACCCGCCCAGGACCACACAAGTTAGTGGTAGAGGATTTGCGTCCAGGAAGTCTAACTTAAGAGGTCATGCTCTCAGTCACTAAGATGCTCTACTTGGCTTTGAACTGGTGGATGCGTTTGTGACCAGTATTCCTTGAAGCAGTGACATGGGTCCCAAGATAATGTAGAGGAATAAAAAACTTAATAAAACTTTATTGATTACATGGTGTTCATACAACTGAGGAGGCTGTCAGTATCCTACTTCAAACCTGCTTCCCAGAGAAAAACATTCATAAAATTTTTAAGTCCTAATCTTGAATTTCATCATTTTGAGTCTCCTTATCTATTTCTTCTCCTCAGTCATAGCCCCACTCCATGGATGTCAGAGGAGTAAGCTTATCAATATATGTGATTTCTTCATAACTCCCAACACTTTGGAACCTTTCAAACTACCTAAAATTTACATATTCTAAAGACTAGGTTTTTATCAAAAGGCCAAAAAATGTAGAAAAAAATGAGGAAAACAGGTTTTCTAAAAAAGATGCATTCACTCTTACATCTGAAAGAAGTTGAAAGTAACCAAAACAAAATTAATTATTATGCAAAGGCTAAACCTCTTTCAAAGGTATTCATGCTTGAAAAAGTTTGTATGTTTAAATGTTAAGTTTTTTCTCAACCATAACTTATTAATACAACTTAATATTTTTTCCTTTTGAAAATGTGAATGTTAGTTAGAATTCCACATGAGTCACCCAAAATCTGGTTGGTAAATTATAATTGTAATAATATATGCCTGAAAACTAACAATAAAATAGAATTCTGAATATAGAATGCTAAAATATAAGGGACTTAGAGTAGTTGGAAATTATGTTCAGCTCCTAGTAATAAAGACTCCCAAAATAGTGACTTACACAAAATAAAAGTTTGTTTTTCTCTTACATAAAAAGAAATTGTTCAGCATTTCCGTAGTCATCAAGAACCCGCTCTACTTCTTTCGATCTGCTTAGTTCTGCCTAACCTTCCATTCTCAGGGCCACTCATGGTCCAATACAGCTGATTGAAGTCCAGCTCTCAGGTCCAGGCAGAAAGGGCACATACGCTCATACCAGGTTTCTTGTTCCCCTTTAAAATGCTTTCCTGGAAATTCTACTCCCCAATTTCAGATTTTGTATATCTTATTATCTAGCACGTAAGTCTACAGCAACAACCAGCTGCAAAAAAAAGACTAGAACATTGCTAATTCAGAATAAAATTAGGCTTCTCTTAGGAAGAAGGGGAGTATTTGTTTTGGAAAACAGCCAGCAGTCTCCGGCAGAAGACTGTAGGAGACATCTCATCCAGACTTTTTAAGTTTAAATACAGCTGGTTAGTGGCATAGTTGTGGTTAGAACCCAGATGTCCTGCCAATCTGTATTAACTAAGCATGTTCATAATCGCTTTTACTAATAGTGAAGTAGATAAAGTGATAGTAAGTCAATCTAACATTATTACAAGTGTAATTCGTTGCCTCTTTACCTCAGCATCTACCCCCACACACACATACTCTCACACACTTAAGTATTTCAGAATATTATTGCCTCTTTTTTGATAAACCTTTCTAGGATCACTTTTCCTTCAAGATACAAGTTATATTGGCCATCTAGATTCTGTGATTAATACTTAAAATAATTTTAGTAGGCTCTAAAAACATTTAACATTTGTCATTAATATTAATGGTTTTATAACTTTAGGAACAATTTTTTTCTCAAATTTTCTCCTACAGTATAGCTGAAATACAGAAAGATGTGGAATACAGGTTGCCATTCAGCGTAAACAACCTGACAATTAACATTAATATGTGAGTAGAAATTGTATCCTATTTTTCTATATAATACGACTATTTATTATTAGAAGTAAATTGTTTAAAGTGAACTTATTTTAAATATTCCCTTTCCAGTAACTATAATTTATCAAAGTTGCACAATTTTGTGAATAAATATTTTGTAAAGAAATTAATGTATATTGCCGTAAGAAAACTATATGAGGAAATGCAATAAAAAGATATAAAAATCATGAATTCTGTATTCAGTTTCATTGATTTGTACTAAAGTCTTAGCTGGAAGTAGATTGAAAGAGGAGAATGATAATAACAAACAGTCAAAGAGATCATGTATGGAAAACCATTAGAGATATATTCACCTTTACATCCGAAAGAAGTTGAAAGTTCAAGACTGATTTGATCTACTGATTATTTTTAAAGGAAGAAATGTAAACATGTGGTTATTAACTTATAAAGAGGAAAGTTGGACAAATTAAGTTCTTACCTCAGGTTATGTTAGATGGCTGGCTTCTAGAGGCCGTGTGTGGGTGAGGTAAAAAGGTACCTAACGAAGACAGGAACCAGGGCTGATTCATCTTCATATCCTCATTGCCCAGCGTAGTGCCTGCACGGAGGAGGCGTTACTACATCCTGGTTGAAGGAGTGAATTCAAGTATTATGCTGTGTTATCTTGGTGTACAGCGGTTTTTTGATTCCTCACAGTAGCAAATTGGGGCAAATGATAGACACATAAGTAGTGACAGCATAGTCGGGATACAAACCCAGATTAGGCCGGCTCCAAAGGCCACGTGTTGCCTTTTTACCAAACGAGTTTGACATCTTCAACTCTATACATTAAGTAGCTTTATTTCTCTCCAAGTGTCCGATGTACAGCTAGGTAGGAGAAGCCAACAGGGACCCAGTTTTCTTCTTGGCATTGCTGCCAGCAAAGAGTGTTCTGAGCCAGCGGGAACAGAGAAGCAGTTTAAAAGGACATATTCTTTTGAGTTTTAGAGGAAATTTGGAAAATAGTCTCATATCCAGTAAAATCCCATTTTTTAAGATTTCCCTCCCTAATCTTAAATTTGTAATAGGTCAAAAAAAAGGTTGAAGTTTTCACTCTCTTCTATTGAGAATGTACTGTTTTTTTATTTGAAACCATGTGATTCACCTCAGAATCGGGAGAGATGTGTTAATTGGGACATTTAGAAAAGAACCATATGAACTGAGGCATTAAGGCACTTTAATGTTTCATTTCTAGCACTTTCCATTTTCTCTTTAAAAATTCTGTAGATAGTGAAATAATTCTTGGCAGCATTTTAAAAGTAAGAAAACCACGTGTAAAAAAATGATATGACCAGACCTGTGGTCCAGTAAGTAACCAGGCTGGGTTAGTGTGACTCACATGCTACAAATGCTTGATCTAATTTTTAGCTGAGATTTGTATTGATATATTGTATTAGAAAGCAATTAATTGATACAGTGTGAAGACTATTCTATATTCATGGTATCCATGTTCTACATTAAGTAGGTTTTACTGTAAGGCAAGCATGTCAAACTCAAAGGCTAACACAGGCCAAATAAATAAGGTTTAAGTTTATGTGGGCCGCAAAAAAACCAAAAGCTCCAATTTTCATTTCCAAACAAATAAGTCCAAGACTAATGATGTGGCAGTCGGCTGCTAAAATACTCACTGCTAGTATCAGTGGAGAGAAATGGTGTGCCTGTGTGTAAGATGCGTAAGGGAAATGAATGCAACACGATTATAATAATCAGTCATTAGCGAACATTGTAGTTATTAATAATTATGCATAACAGGATATTGTAAAAATTACGTTATGAAATTTTTATTAAAACATTTCTTACATACTGTTATGTTGGCTGGGCTGCAAAAATACTCATTGTGGGCCGCATGCAGCCGAGTTTGACATGCTTGCTGTATGGAATTAATTTATTTCCAAAGTGTATCCTTTTGTATATTTTCAGTCATCTCAGCAACTATAAAAGAGCACTTATTACTGAATAATGAATCCAAATGAAAGTATGAGAATTTAATGTGTTTTAAACTAACTTTGTTTTAGGATTATTACTATGTAATGTAACATTTGTTGTCTTTGTTTTTCATCTGTTCTACCTTTACCAGATTGCTTCCTCCACAATTTCCTCAGGAAAAACCAGTGATCAGTGTTTATCCACCAATACGACATCATTTAATGGATAAACAAGGAGTATATGTTACCTCTCCATTAGTAAACAATGTATGTTTATGGTATATTTATTTCAGAGTAATAAAACAGGTGTATTACTTTTTTACTAAATACTTTAGAAATCTAAAAATGCACTTAAAATCTCATGTTGGAATCAGTAAGTTTCAAAAATCTTTTCCACTGTCTATGATAGTACTGATTCAAAGGCTGCTTTTTAGTGGCAAGGACCTGTTGAGGTTCACAGTAGATACTCCGTAGTTTTTAGTAGAAATAAAATTCAGATATGCCTTGAAGTTCTTAAGCTATGTATAACATTGATTAACGTGAATAATATACTCTCAGTATTTACCTTTGAACCTTCCAATCTTTATAAATAGTGTAATGTGGAAATATTTTAGATGCATCGTTGATTAAATAGGCTTTTAATTTGATTTATGGTATTGATTCTATTAGAAAATACTGTAAGCTGTGGATTGCTGATATGTTTGACACAATGTCCTTTGCTTTCCATTTAATTCTTGACTTGCAAAAATTGGTTTTAATATTTAAGTTTTAGAGTGAAGTTATCCTAATGAGAACTTACATTCTTTTTCTGAAAGTGATGTTAATCATTCTGTCTTACTGTTATTTTCAGTTTACAATGCACTCAGATCTTGGAAAAATTATTCAGAGTCTATTGGATGAGTTTTGGAAGAATCCTCCAGTTTTAGCTCCTACTTCAACAGCATTTCCATAGTAAGTATATTTATAACAAATGTTTGTATATATTTATTTTAATCAATGTAATCAAAATATAGTTTAAAAATTCAGATGATGCTAAAAAGCACTCCTTTGTTTTTACATCCCTGTCTTCACAAAAATACATTCATACTTTTCAGAGACAACTGTTCTTTTAGCTGCTTCTCTAATATTTACTTTCATCTTTTTTTAAAAAATTATTGATTGATTTGAGAGAGAAAGAGAGGAAGGGGGGTGGAAAAGGGAGTATAAAGAGAGAGAAACATTGATTTGTTGTTCATGTGCTTATGCATTCATTGGTTGTTTCTTGTATGTGCCCTGTCTGGAGATAGAACCTGCAACCTTGGTGTACTGCTCTAACCAACAAAGCTGCCCAGTCAGGGGTACCTTCATCTTAATCAATAATATGTATATACTGCTATATTTTTATCCTATCATTTACATATTACCTATTGGATCCCTAGTATGATTAATAAGGATTTTAGTTATCTTTCACAAATCTTCTCTCATTCAGTGAAATTATATCATAATTTTTATTTAAATAAATTTTTATTACTTTGACTACACATATCCTGTCACTTAACTAAGTGCTTTACCCTAATTACATTTTCCTGTTATAGCTTCTTTGCTTTTTTCTGGAGTTAATTACTTCCAATTTTTCATTGGTTTTGTTTTCTTAGATCTTTTTAGTTTTCCTGCTAACAGTCTTTTTGAGGTCCTGCAGTCTTTTACACTCTCCTGATGGTACATCTAGCTTTCACAAACTCTGGTTGGTCCCAAAGCCACTCTCATGGTTTAGATTTTTTGTCATAGCAGCAGTCCACTTCCACGTGCTAAAATCTTTTCTGGTTATTAAGGCTTCATAACATATTAGCCACAAAATTGTGGTTTAAAACAACGAGCACATTTATTGTATTCAGCTCAGAAAGAGTTCATCAGAGTGAGCTCTTATCTGCTTCGTTGATCATAAGGAGGCTCTCCTCAGAGGCCTTACCTGGAGGTGTCAGCTGGTATACCTAGGTGTTACCTTTATGTGTGCTGGGCTCCCTCACAACATAATGGCTGGTGTTCTAGCGTGAACATCCTGAGAGCGAGCTATGAGAAAGCCATAATGACTTAGTTGCTGAAGTCCTTCACTTTTGCTACATTTGATTTGTTGAGGCAGTTGCAAAAACTTGACCAGATGCAAGGGGAGAAAAATCGCCTTTTCTTCTAGATAGTGGAGTGGCCTGGTTCTGCAAGGCCATATAGGACCAAAAATAATGCTGTGAACATTTTTGTAAATTACAACATGGATGCTTGGAAGATAAATTTTGAGACTTAATTTTAAATCTGCAAATGTCTTTAATATACACTTACACTTAATAATTGGTGCAGTTCAAATTCTAAGTTGAAGTGTTTTTTCTACTTTGAAAGCATTCCTCTATTGTCTAAATATAGGTAGGCTATTGGTGCTAAGATGTCCAATGCCATTTTGATTTCTGATTTACATAACTTTTTTTTATATCTTTGATATTCTGAAACTGCATGATGGTGCAACTTCCTGTTGCTTTTTTTTTTTTTTTTTTTTTTTTACTTTTCAGAATAGTTATTGTATTTATCACCCAGTCCTTCTGTTTCATTTTAAAGAACGTAATTTTGTTCACAAGTCAAGTGGCAGTGACATCTTGTGCCCGGACATCTGCGTAGCTAGATTATCAGGTTCATTATATCCATCAGTCCTAGCTCTCATCTTTGCCTCTGACCTATGTCCTGGAGTCATGAGCCTCACTGATATTCTTTATCTAAAAACAGTATTTCCTGTCTTCTGTTAGGATAGGGCTAGATGTTAACTCACCATTCATCTTATCTGAAAATAGAAGCCAACAAGTTTACTTGCTCTCCTTTTACATAAGTTCTATGATAAAGTGCACATTATTATTATTTTTTATTTTTATTTTTTTTAAAGTATATTCTAATTGATTTTTTACAGAGAGGAAGGGAGAGAGATAGAGAGTTAGAAACATCGATGAGAGAGAAACATCGATCAGCTGCCTCCTGCACATCTCCCACTGGGGATGTGCCCACAACCCAGGTACATGCCCTTGACCGGAATCAAACCTGGGACCCTTGAGTCTGCAGGCTGATGCTCTATCCACTGAGCCAAACCAGCTAGGGCTTGATTTTTTTTTTTTTTTTTTTTTTGAGAGAGAGTAGAAGGGAGGGGGAGAGACAGAGAGAGAAATGTCAATGTGAGAGAGACACATCAATTTGTTGCCTCCCACACTCTCCCTGACAGGGCTGGGGTTCAAGCCTGCAACCAGGGTACATGCCCTTGACCGGAATTGAACCCATGACCCTTCAGTCTGCAGACCAATGCTCTAACCATTGAGCAAAGCAGCCAGAGCTATATAAGATTCTTACAGATGGATATTTTTGTTGTTTCCAGTCTTTCTTAAAAGGCCCACCCTCTTTGTCCTCAGTGTTGCAGGGAATAACTTTAAAAATATAATTTACCGAAATGTGAGTATATTTGTTGGATATATTCTCAAAGTGGTATTCATATTCATAATTTTGACAAACACTGCAAAATTGCCCTACAGAGTAGTAGAGTAGTAACTTCTACTCCTATACATATATCTGTTGCCAGTGTAGTATATTACCAGAATCAATCTTTGCCAATTTATAAGAAGAAAATATGTTTGTATAATTTTAGTTGTATTTATCTTATTCCAGTAAAGTTGACCACCTTTTTCTATGATTTAGATATTGACCCCCCCCCCCAACTTGTGTATTCTGTCCTATTCTCCATTTTGCTACCCCCTCTCCCCCGACTTGTGTCTTGTTTCCTAGTCTCCATTCTGCTATTAGGTTGTTAATCCTTTATCAGTTTGTAGGAACTCTTTATATATTAGGTGAATTATCCCTGTGTCTGTGATGAGTTTAAAAAATTTCCCCAGTTTGTTGTCTTTTCTTATAATGGGCTTTGTTGTGTAGAGATTTGTTGTGGTGTTTTTTTTAATATCATAGAATTTGTTGTTTTTTCTTATGACTTACGAATTTGGTAGTTCAATTTTTAATTTTTTGAGGAACTGCCATACTTGGTAATAGAAAGTGGCTGCACCACTTTGTATCACCAACACTGCATAGGATTCTCATTTCTCCACTAACACTTCTTGCCCAGTTAGGAATTTATGACCAGTTTACTCTTGAGATTACTTTTAGTCACTGAACTTGTCAAATTTATTCCAGAGCCCCATTTTCATTCACAACTTCCTTTCATTCTTTTTTCTTTTCATATTGGCTTAGTTCAACTGCTCAATCTATGAGTTCTGATCGTTTCTTCTGCTTCGCCCAGCCGGTTGTTGGACCCCTCCAGTTTACTTTCCCCTTCAGTTCTATTCTTTAGCTCTATGACAGCGGTTCTCAAACTGTGGGTCGCGACCCCTTTGGGGGTTGAACGACCCTTTCACAGGGGTCGCCTAAGACCATCGGAAAACACATATATAATTACATATTGTTTTTGTGATTAATCACTATGCTTTAATTATGTTCAGTTTGTAACAATGAAAATACATCCTGCATATCAGATATTTATATTACGATTCATAACAGTAGCAAAATTACAGTTATGAAGTAGCAACGAAAATAATTTTATGGTTGGGGCTCACCACAACATGAGGAACTGTATTAAAGGGTCGCGGCATTAGGAAGGTTGAGAACCACTGCTCTATGACTTCTGTTTGGTACTTTCTTACATTTCTTAGTTCTTTGTTAAAGTTCTCACTCTGGTCCACCATTCTTTTGAGCAACTTCTTAACCATTACTTTGAACTGTTTATCAGGTAAATTATCTCCATTATTGAGGTTTTATCTTTTTCTTTTGTTTGGAACATAGACTTTGTTTCTTTATTTTTGCTTGACTCTTTGTGTTGGTTTCTATCATGAGATAAAACAGTTGCCTCCCTCAGTCTTGAGGATTGGACTAGGAGATGAACCTTGCCCTATCTCTTGAATGACTCAAACCTTTGTGAGTATTCAAGCAGTCTATTATATTTTTAAGAGCTGAGATAAAACAGTTGCCTCCCTCAGTCTTGAGGATTGGACTAGGAGATGAACCTTGCCCTATCTCTTGAATGACTCAAACCTTTGTGAGTATTCAAGCAGTCTATTATATTTTTAAGAGCTAACAGTAGCTGAAGCTGTGCCAGTTCCTGCCTGCTTCCCAGGCCCTGGGTGGTGGCAGCTTTTAGAGTATGCAAATATATACTGTCCTGTGGGACACAAGCTTAAGTCCCAGTGGTCACAACATCCAGGCAATTTAGAAGTGTCCTGTTGGACACAGTCTCAAAAGTCTGGCTCTAGGTAAGTGTATAATCTCCTTTCTGGGAAATACCAGCAAGCTGTAGAGAGGCAAAGGGAAAGCGCAAGATGGCATCTACCACCCATGTTCCCTGAGAGCACCTTTGTTAGCCTCTAGATGTATGCCAAACCTGAAACCAGCCCCTCATGCCGAAGTTCCTGCACAGGCAAATAGGCCACTTTCATAGAAAGACTGGGGTGGGGTTGGGGGGTGTTCCTGCTGTCTGTACAGGGCCCTAGGGGTAGTGGTCTCTGTAACTATTACAATCCTATTGGCCCCAGGAACTCCAGCTCCCTGGCCGCCGAGCCAGGTGATCAACGGATCTCCTGATTAGCAGACAGGAAAAGCCGGTGCACCAGATGCTTCAAGAACTGATTCTCAGTTTGCTGTAGCTTTGGGGAGCTGGTGGATGCCAGTCCCATTGGTTTGCAAAGCTAGATGTTTAGAGGGCTCATCTTCATGGGGCTGGTTTTAAAAGTTATGGAGCTCAAACACTGTGCTCCTTGGAGAGAAACTTTGGGTTTTGAGTTCCCTCCCAATTATGGTTGCCTTGCCACGGGTGTGATTTATGGCAAGATTGTATCTCATCCTCTCATACCCATTTTGATGTCTTTTTTTTTTCTTATTTGCTTGATGTATAGAAGTCAGTTAGTTTTTAGGATTTCTTTCAAAAGAAATTATTCATATGTAGCTTACAGATTCTGTGTGTTCATGAGAGGAAGTGAGTTCAGGATCTTTCTACATCACCATCTTGAATAAGAACCCACATTATATCTTTATATATTAACATTTTTAGCAACTCATCTAGACATTTAATTTTTCTTTAAAATTTTCTAGAAAATCAGTTTGTTTTTTAATTCTTTATTGTTTTAAGTATTACATGTGTCCCCATCCCCCCCCCCACACACACACACACACACACTCACCTCTCCCCGGCCACTCCCACCCCCTAGAACATTTCCTCACCTCCCTAGAAAATCAGTCTCGACTTTAAATCATATTTGTTCTAATACAATGAAAGTTACAAAGCAACCTTCACTTGAATAAATTTTCTGAATTAAATGTTATTTACCATTCTCGCTATGAAGATATTGACTGTTGCCAGTGGAATGCTTAAAACTTAAATATGGCTTGTCTATTCGCTTCTGTTGAGAAGTTGAACTTGTATGGTTTCTAAAACATTTTTCTTCTTCATGGAAACCAACATTTTCTCTTTTTTGGGGAGGCAGGGGGTGTTTATATTTTATCAAATTATATAATATTTAATTCAGTTATAACAAGTGTCATCTGCCATAAATGGATTCCATCTGTAGCATATGATAATTGTTACTTGAAAATTTAGGAATAATTTTACAACTAACCCTAACTTCTAATCTAATATTTCTCTTTCTCTTTAGCCTATACAGTAACCCAGGTGGGATGCCTTCCTATGCTTCTCAGGGCTTTCCATTTCTTCCTCCATTTCCCCCACAAGAAGCTAACAGGACTGTCAGTTCTTTATCTGTTACTGACACTGTTTCTTCATCAACAACAAGTTATACAACAGCCAAACCTGCTGCTCCTTCATTTGGCATCCTTTCAAATCTGCCATTACCTGTTCCCACAGCAGACACTTCAGTGCAGGTTGGTATCTTCAATTACCGATATTTTGTACCCTTGAAACATTAATTTAATGAACATTTATTAAATTAATTATTTCTATGTCTCCTTGTGCCAGCCACTAAGGTAGGCACAAAAGATAAAAAAGATTAGATCACATTTTCAATTCAGTTAACAAATTCAGAGAGGCCACCAACATATCAAATAATTGTAAATAAGGAACTTCCAATAGAGTAGAAGACAAAGTCGGAAGTTATGTTGAAGTCACAATTGAGGGGATGGTTAGTGCTGCTAGGGACCAGGGTAGAGCTTAGAAGGAAAATGTGAATCTGTTTTTTCATAACTTTATTCTTAAGTGCCTTAAACCCTGATACAGATATTAGGTGCTCAGTTAAAATGAGGCAGATAAATGAGTGAATGAATTTATGCCTGAGGCTAGATTTTGATACATGGTAATGAATTTGCCTGGATGACAAGTGGTTATATAAAGCATTCTCTGAAGAGGCAGCAGCATTAGCAGAGGCATGAAGGCATTACCAGATGGTGTATTTGTGAAGCTGTCTGTAAAAGATCTCTCTGGCTGTCATATAGGACTTAGGCAAAGGCACAAGAAATGACCATGTAGGAGAAGCAGATTGTGGAGAGTCTGCCGTAGCATACTAAGGGCTTCAAGTGTCCATTGGTTTAAAAATTATGTTCCTTAATTAAGTTGGTAACTGTTGCCATGTGGGAGTTTGCTGAGGTAAGAGACTAATATTTGTGCATACAACATATAAAGGGGTTTAAAACCTTTTAACCTTTAGTGAATATCTCTCATAGTAATACTCAAATGTTATAAAACATTATATCTAGCTTTACTAGTTGCAGTGTTTGTAATAATTAGAATATAGACCCAAGTGGACTTTGCTTTATTCATATATTTCAATGAAATTCACATATAATTCTCCACACTTGTCACAGATATACTTGAGAGATTTATTTTATAGCCTGTACTTTGCCCAAGAAAGAGAGCTAAGAAGGTACTCACATGACCACCTCCCTCCCCCGCAAAAAAAAACCAAAACCAAAAACAGTAACTGAAAAGAATACAGAAAAGAAAGCGGGGAGAGTAAGGACAGTGTAAAGTGCAAAGATAAAGATGTGATAATGAGAACAGGAGCAGTTGAAAAGATGGCTGAAATATAATACTATTTCAAACTCTCTTTAGATAAGCCAGAATGGTTTTGGTTACAGGATGCCAGATGTCCCTGATGAATTTCCCGAACTCTCCGAACTAAGGTAAATGACTTGGAGAATAACATTGGTATTTGTTGTCTGTTGTATTTGTAAATACAAAACAGATCATCACTGTCATATCCATATTAAATAAAAATATTTTTAAATCCTCACTATTTCTAAATTGTGGTTGTCTTAATTGGGAAATTTTATAAATCAGTTTTTATGTTTTGTAGGTTGTGTTTATTGAATGACTAGTATGTACCAGGGATTTTTCTAGATGCTGGGAATGATCATTAGTTACCAGGATAACAATGTCCTTTCTCTTATGTGATTTACATTCTTGTGAAAATTATTTCATTTATATGTTCAATAAATATTTACTGAATGTAAACAAAAAATAATACCAATATTATTAATATGAATACTGAATGTAGGATAAGATTTTGTGGGGTGTTTTACACTTTTTTTTTTCTTCAGGATATACCACACCAGAAATGAACAGCCAAATACTATTTTTTCTCTTCAAATAATATATTTTTTTAATATATTTTATTGATTTTTTCCAGAGAGGAAGGGGGAGGGATAGAGAGTTAGAAACATCGATGAGAGAGAAACATTGATCAGCTGCCTCCTGCTCACTCCCCACTGGGGCTGTGCCTGCAACCAAGGTACATGCCCTTGACCGCAGTTGAACCTGGGACCCTCTATCCACTGAGCCAAACTGGTTAGGGCTTCAAATAATATTTTTTCTGGATGATTATGTAACTTAGAAAAAGTTTGCTTTGAATTTTAAGAGACAACTTTTTTCTTTAATATTGAATTTAGATTTTTAATCATGCATTGCTTTTATATGGATCTGTAGTCAAAAGTAAAAGATATGTTCAGAAAGGTTTAGGTGCCTCCCTATCCAATTGCCTTTTTCACCCTGTGGATATTGAGTTTTTGCTTTGGCTTAACCTTCTATGCCTGCTCACATACACATAAATATACGCATTTTTTATTGTGATAGCCACATATCTGTTAGCTAAATAAGGCACTGAGGCTAAAATTGGGAGGTTGTGACTGTTCATACAGCCTATTCTTTATCTAGGTCTACAGTGATTTGACACTACATTCAGACTACTTTATTATCCATGTGGTTGATGTTTTATTTGTTTTGAAGGTTATAGTTTGCCATGTGTGTGCATCCAAAATTATTTAGAACCCTTCAGCTGGATAACTGAAAAATAGTGAATTTTTATCATAATGGAGAAAAACTAGATTATTGATAGTCATTAACATATTGTCTGTTCTGTTTCTAGTGTGTCACAACTTACAAATATGAATGAACAAGAGGAGATATTACTAGAACAGTTTCTTACTTTGCCTCAACTAAAACAAATTATTACTGACAAGGACGACTTAGTAAAAAGTATTGAGGAGCTTGCAAGTAGGTCTTCCTTTACTTGTTAAATTTCCTGAGAAAAATGTGACCTTTACCTAGAAATAAACCAGATTTTTATTTTACAGGGAAAAATCTGCTTTTGGAGCCCAGCTTGGAAGCCAAAAGACAAACTGTTTTAGAGAAGGTGAGTTGGTGCTCATTGTGAAGAAATTCATGTAATTTATAAATACAAGAAAACAGCATTTTTCTTTTCTCTTTTAGTATGAATTACTGACACAAATGAAATCTACTTTTGAAAAGAAGATGCAAAGACAGCATGAACTTAGTGAGGTAAGATTGTTTAGCTTTTTTTATTTACCATAAGAAATTTTTATCTTAATGTGTGTCAGCCACATTGTTACTTTCGTTTTTATCAGAAAGCATTTATTAGTTGTCTGACTTTATGAGGTCTTTAAATGCTGATGAACAGCCCTCAGTTATGCGGCATTATAAGTCATTTGTGCTCATACAAGAGCATATTTAGCTCCAAAACAGAAAAATATTAAAATACCCATAAATAACTTTTCTGGGAAAGTTATTATAAAGCCAGTTTAACTCTTGCAATAAACTTTAACTATAGACTCACTTGTAAGCTTCTGGGGGGCGCAGGG